TATGATTCAAAGAAATATTTATGGGATGACCCTTTCTTGTTTAAAATTTGTGCAGATCAGGTAATTAGAATATGCATCCCAAAAGAAGAAGTACCATCAGTTCTACAGCACTGCCATGCAGGACCATGTGGAGGACATTTTGGAGAAAGTAGGACAGCATCCAAGGTTTTGCACTCAGGATTCTACTGGCCTACTCTGCACAATGATGCTCAAAACTTTGTAAAAAGTTGCAATGAGTGTCAGAGGAGTGGAAATATCTCTAGATGAAATTAAATGCCTTTAAACGGAATTCTAGAAATAGAGTTATTTGATGTTTGGGGTATAGATTTTATGGGACCTTTCCCTCTGTCCAATAATTGTGCCTACATCTTGGTTGCTGTGGACTATGTGTCCAAATGGGTAGAAGCCATGGCTTGCCATTCCAATGATGCTAAAACTGTTGTGAAATTCTTACAAAAGCACATCTTCACTAGATTTGGCACACCTCGTGCCTTAATCAGTGATGAAGGCGCTCACTTCATAAACAACATGTTAGAAGAAGTTGAATATGACATCAAGCATAGGGTAGCAACTGCCTACCATCCTCAGACCAACGAATTAGCTGAGTTGTCAAATAGGGGGATAAAGGGGATTTTGGCCAAAGTAGTCAAGCCACATAGAAAAGATTGGGCTTCTAAGTTAGATGATGCATTATGGGCCTATCGGACTGCTTACAAAACCCCTATTGGTATGTCTCCCTATAAATTGGTCTTTGGAAAAGCTTGTCATTTACCAGTGGAATTAGAGCATAAGGCCTATTGGGCCATTAAGGAACTAAACATGAGTTTAGATGAGGCYGGAAGAAAAAGGACTTTGCAGCTTTGTGAACTGGAAGAACATAGGAATTTTTCCTATGAAAATGCTAAGCTTTACAAAGAAAATACCAAAAAATGGCATGATAAAAAGATTCTTCCAAAAGAGTTCATAGAAGGCCATAAAGTCCTGTTGTTCAATTCAAGGTTGAAATTATTTCCGGGAAAGCTGAATTCCCGATGGACCGGACCTTTTGTTATTGCCAAGGTATACCCCTACGGAGTCATTGACCTGATAGATCCGGAGAGGGGTACCACTTTCAAAGTAAATGGACAACGAGTAAAACCCTTCTTTGATTTCATGATTGTTACGCAACCTGTCGAGGTTATCTTTTTAAAGTAATAATTTTTTTTTAGATATTTTATATATACTTATAGGTTATTATCTTATTTTTCTTCTTTCTTCTTATTTATTAGCTTTTATTTTCATTTTCTAGGTTATTATATTCTTTTAAAAATTATTCTAAATTTTTGGTTTGTTTTCTTTTATAAATTTTAATATATTAGGTTTATAGTTCAGTTAAAAGTTTAAATTTTTGTTTTAGACTTTTGGGCTATAAGGGCAAAGGTTCTGTTGAAATAACTAACCAGGCCCAAAGAGTATTTACTCTTAACATGCCACAAGACGGGAGGCCCATGATGAAGCCTTGTTTACAAGCCCAAATCAGCAGCCCACGCGGAAGAAGAGCCCAACGCCTAAGCCTACTCTCGGTAAGGTTGATCAAAATTCCGCGCATTCGTACCTGTTAAAACACAGCGCAAGTCTTTTCGTCTCCAAGCTCTCAACTCGTCAGCACCATCACCGTACTTTCTTCTCGATCACACCAAGAGCATAAGCATTACTCAGCAAATACGCATTCTCGAGAAGGAAGGGACTTCCTAGGATCTGACATTACAGCGCAAGGTACAATTTCTAACTCATAGCATAAATCGATCGATAACTAACATTGGTCAGAGGAAGTTTTGAAATTTGTGAAACCAAACCTTGGAGAAGAAGATTAAAGGCTTTAAAAACCCCTAAACACTGTTCAAAAGACCAGTCGGGTTTGTGCTAAGCAACTGTTCACAATCGTCTTCTTTGTTCCAAGAAAAATCACAGTCCTCTGTTTTCAATCGGAATGGCAATTATAAAAAAGCGAGCAAGAAGAAGGGAGGGGGGAGCAGATTCCATGCCTGCTGTGCATACCCATGAACAGACGAGTGTTAGTGAGGAGGAGCCTATTGAGGCCATCCCTGTGAGACAAGTTCCTTTTGCCAAACCAACACCTGCACCATTCACTAAACCCCAGACTCAAGCTTCTGTGATGGTTAAGCCTGAACCACAAACTATCCCTCAATATCAGTCCGGCCCTCGAATGACAAGGAGCAGAGCCAAGGACCTGATTAATTTCAAGCCTGTGAAGCAACCAGAGGGGACTGTGTTTGATATATCTGATGGGAGTGATTTGTTACCTGAAAGTCCTGAGGCTCAAACCAATACACCCGAAGCATCACAAGCAGACAATACTTCATTGACTATGTTGGCAGAAGCTACAACCAAGATGAACAAGCAGAGCATGCCTTCAACATTCACAGAAAGGCTCCAAGAAGGTTTAAAAGTTTCTGTACCCTTAACTAGAGATTTATTATCTGGTTTCCCTGTTTATCCACAGGCTAGTGTTGGGTTCATAAAAAGATCTGTAGATGAGGCTATTGCAGCCTCAAATGAAGCATTAGGTTTAAGATCAGAAAGATGTACACCCACCATGTCAATGGTCCACTCTCAGTCATCCATGGATGTTCAAACTCCAAAGAAGGGAAGCTCATCCCTTAAACAGTATGTTGATGCTGCTTTGGCAGCTATGGACAAAGCAATTAGAAGAGAACCAGAGTGTACAACAGCCCCTGTTCAACCAACTGTCCCTACCACACATGCACACCCTTTCTTTAGAAACAAGCCCACTGAGTTCAATTTTTTGAACCCCTCACACTTCACCAATATACCTATTTCATCATCAAACATAGAACCTACACTACTCAAGCATGCATCCACATCTAGAACAGCACCTGTTGGAACAGTATATAAACCAACCCCTGTCCGAGAAATGCCTAACACATCCACCATTGAACCTACCCCTGTTACAACCACCACAAGCCCTCTACCCTCACCAAACCATCCCACAACCACACCTTCCACACCTACTGAACCCATCCCTCTGCCAGAAACTGTATCTATCCAAGAATTGGATTTTGTCCTAGGCTTATCACCCTCTAACCCCAGCCTCACACCATTTGAACATAACGAAGACCCCTCTGACCCTCAAAACACACCAGTTACTCAAACACCACCACCATCAACACATTCCACTCAACCTAACCCAAACCTACCCCCTAGCCCTGTACACTCTAGGACTCATAATTATTATGAGGGTGCACCTGTGCATGGCAGCCCAAAAATGGAAAATGAAAGAGATGAGGTGGATACCGGGGCCAGTTTGAAAAGAAAGATGCCAAGAAGAAAGAGAGTAACCAGAATGGAGACAAGATGCACAAAGAGGAGAAGAGAAGAAAGTGATAGGTCTGAGGAAGACGACAGAGCACCAAGAAGGAGAAAAAGGACTGAACAGGAGTTTGAAGATGTGTCTGGTATTTATCTGAAACCCAAACATTTGTTCAGTACACCCCTTGCTAGAAAAACATACTTTCAGTATTCTGAAAAGTGGGGGTGACACAAAAAGGTTTTACTCAACAGTTATTGATGGCCAATCCAAGCATTAAGGCCACAATAGAATCTTTAGGATGGGAGACATTATGTGACGTACCTAACCAATATAACCTTAGTTGGGTTAGGGAATTTTACACTGAGGTGGCCGTCACGGATGGGGTGAATTTGAAAGTAAGAAAGACCCCTGTCTCATACTCCCCCACTGCCATTAATGACTTATTAGAGCTCATCCCACCTTCCTACTTCGAGCTTGATAGGTTAACTACTGGGTGTACTGATGAGGAGCTTGATATGATCTTGGCCACTGTAGCTAAGGAGGGGGCTGTATGGAGTTTCAAAGGAAAGGCTAGATTACTTAAGACCCAATATCTGAAGCCAAAAGCCAATTTATGGTTTTACTTCATGAGACATACCATCCACCCCACCAGCCATGATACAAATTTGTGCCTAGAGAGAGTTCTGATCCTATATTGTATCTTAGAGGCTCGACCTTTTGATGTTGGGAGAATGATGTGCTCCAACATAAAGGCCTGTGGGGAGAGAACCAATGGAAAGTTGTTGTATCCTTCTTTGATCCATAAACTGTTGCTAAAAGCCCAAGTCCTATCCTTGCCAAAGGATGTGATGTCAATGGAGAAAACCTCCATTGACAAGAAGAATATGGACAGACTGATGAGAGTAAATGCAAGGGTTCAACCAGATGCACCAACATCCTCCATGGTAGCCCTGAAAGCTGAGTTGATGAAGGCAATGGAAGATCATACCAACAGTTTGAAGAAGGTGATAGTGAAGAAAAATCACAAATTGATGAAGAGAGTTGATGAATTGAAGAAGGAAGTGGAAATTTTAAAGAAGGAAAGGGTACAGTGGGCAGAGTACAAGATACAGAAGGAGAGGATACTTAGGGCCGCCACCAAGCATGGACAATCAAGGAGTACAGTCAAGCTTCCACCGCCACCAAAGTCCATCCTTTTACTGCACTCAGACTCTCCTACTCAGTCTGAGTAGGACAGGTTCTACCTTTTTACTTCTTTGTATATATTGTGTCATGCCCAGGTCCTTGTTAGAAGCTCATAGCCATTTTGCTGTTTTTAAAAGCCTTTGCTGATTTGCTGTTTAGACAAAAAGCTTGCTGTTTTCCTTAGTTTTTTTAGCATAAATACAATTTGTTGTTTTGATGTGTGACCATGTTAATTCTGTTGTATTTCCTCTGTTCTGACAAACCATGACTGATATTGCTGTTTTTCATGCTATTGTTGTTTTCCCTGCTGTTTCTGTTTAACGTTGAGCATTGAATGTCCCATTTTTGTTTGCCAAAATAGAAGGGTGCTGTTTGATCTCTAATCTGCTGTTCTTAGACTCATTTACATGAGTTTTTACTGTTTTTGGTTAATGATGATTAGCTGTTTTGATAATATAGTCTTAGACTGGCACTTTGATTTGCTGTTTTTACTTTGGTTTGCTGTTTTAACCCCCTCATTTTGATTTGCTCTTTTAATCCTTACTCATGCACCAAAAGAGAATGTTTAAGGAGTTTCTTTTATTTTTCTTTGCTGTTTTAATCCTTACTCATGAATTTTCTTTGCTGATTTAAGACTTCATCATAGTGTATCTTTGCTGTTTTAGAATTCTTAAGCATGTTTACTGTTTTAAAATTAAGACAGTCATGCTTATACATTCTATTTGCTATTTGTATCCTCAATTGAGGACATTCGCTGTTTTTAGCTTTAGATTTTGCTGTTTTGAATCTCATGCGACCCTAAGCCATGAACTTTTGTTTGTTGTTTAACATTTGCTGTTTTTAAATACAGTCCTTCGGACAGTATGACTGCTGCTGCTGTGAGGGCCCTTTTATGAATGCTTTGAGGGAGAGCCTAGCTGAATGCATTCCAATTTTATTCCCCTGTACAGGCTGTTTCATAAGAGAAACAATGGCAATCCCATTGTTTGGTTTCATTTAGCCTGTTTTATGATATAACAATGGCAATCCCATTGTTTGGACTCATATGGCCATGATGTTTGATAATGCAGTCCTCTGGTTGACTGTTTTGATTCAAAGCTCATCCTTGGTACCATATCTTAACTCTAAGGTCAACTTGACTTAGAGTTGGACTGTTGGTTTTGTTTCAATCTTTTATTTTGAGTCTTTGAGTCCTTTTATTTTCACAAAATGACCAAGTCACACTTGTGACTTCTCATCTTTGCTTTTCTGTTTCAATTATTTTCAGTTTGTTTGCTTTTCTGTTTCAAAGATTTTTTAGTTTGAGTCCTTCTCCTTTCAAAGATAGTCAATTACACTGGTATTGATCATCTTTGCTTTTCTCTTGGACCGTATTACTCAGTTCAGGGTATTGAAAACTTACTTGATTAATTAGATAGACATTGAGTACGCAGCGGACAGTATGTAAATCAAGCAGGTA